ATATATATATGGTAACTCAATAAACATATGGTAAGGAAAATGAATAATCTATTCTCCCCCCCAAAATATACATCACTGAATGCCTTCACTGAAGAATTCTTTTAAAAACTTAAAGAATTAACTCTGACCTTTCTCAAACTATTTTAAAATATGAAGAAGACAAAATGCTTCCAAACTTATTTTATGGGGCCAGTATTAACTTAATATCAATATCAGATGACAATAATATGAGAAAGGAAATAATATACCAATATCCTCAATAATCATTGATGTAAAAATCCTCCATATAAATCAGTACTAGCAAAGTGAACTTCAGTTACTATTCTCAATGCTGAGACAAATTATGCTACACTTGAAGTTAGAGGAGGAAAGGTTTATTTAGTTCATAGCTCACAGAGGTTTCAGTCCTTAATTGGCTGGCTCCAAGACAGAGTGGTTTGGCAGAAGGGCACTGTAGAGGAGAAATGGTTCGGGGCAAACAGAAGACAGCAAAAGCAAGCAAGCAAGAGTAACACAAGTAAGTGACTTTCTGTCCCTTAAATTTATTCAGTCCACTGGGTGGTGCAAAACCAGCCAAACCAGTGGACGGATTTAGTAATCACCTACCTTTAACTCTAGATCTAGGCTTCGGCGGGGGGTATCTACCACAAACCATAACACGTTAAAGCAATTTTACATTACTCCCCAGTTTTATTTATTCCTGGAATTCAAGGAAGATTCAGCAAATGAAAACCAAGTAGCGAAGTAAATACCTTAAGAGAATGAGGGACAAAAACTACAGGATAATCTCGATTGATACAGAAACAGCACTGGACAAGCTTCAACACTATTTTAAAACAAAAACAACAAAGTATGTTATCTGCTGCCTAAACAGCACAAACGCAACAAAGTATGAACTATCTCAAGATAATGAAAGCCTTATTTGAAGAGCTCACAGTAAAGATACTCAATAGTAGAAAACTTAGTGCTGTCCACTAATGTCAGGAACAAAGAAAGAGTATCCACTTTTTTTTTTATATGTATTCAACATAGTTTCAGAAACTAGTCAGAGAAATTAAGTAAGAAAAATATATAGAAGTTATCCAAACAGGAGAGGAAGAAGTTGAATTAATTTCTCTTCACAGCTCATATTATCGTATATGTGAAAAAACCCTAAAGATTCCACCAAGGGAAACAAAAACATTGTTAAGAGTTAATGGACAAAGTTGGAATTAATGAACAATGTTTGCAAAGTTGCAGATTATAAAATCAACACCTTGCATTTATGTGCACAAAGAGAAATCCAAAAAGAAAATTAATAAAACATTTCCACTTTCTAAAGCATTGAAATGAATAAATTATTTAGGAATAAACCCAACTAAGCAGGCGAAAAGCTTCTATGTTGAAAAGTATAAAACTACTGAAATAAATTAGGAAAGACACAATGTCTTAGTTCCTCTTTGGTGAGACACAATACCCAGTGCTCACAAGTTAAAGGAGGAAAGGTTTATTTTGCTCACAGTGGGTGGGGTTTCAGTCCATATTCTGCTGGCTTCCAGGCAGGGCAGCATGGCAGAGGCACATGCAGAGAACTGTTCGTGGAGGGGTAACCAGAAGCAGGGCACCATCAAGGGAGGAGGAGGGAGACAGACCCTTCCAGGTCACACCCGCAGCAACCCACCTTCTCCCAACATTACACTAGCAATAAACTCAGCAGCGAACTGATCCGCCGATAAATATCACACACCTCTGATCCGGTCTCCTTCCAAAAGCCTCACCTATGAGCACATGACACTGCGGGAACACCTAGATATGAGCTTAACTCAATTAAACTCACAGATATTCCGAGTTCACCAATTCGAAGACTTGATGTTGTAAAAATGTCCACACATAATGAGATCTTTAGATTCAATGCACTCTTTAAATCCCTGGGGCTTTTTTTCAAAGATAGAAAAAAAAATCTGAAAGTTTACCTGGAATCTCAAAGAACCCTAAGCAACGAAAATAACATGAAAAAAATAAATATTAAAACTGGGACATTTTTCTGATTGCAAAATATACGAAGTTACAATTATCAAAGTAGTATGGTGATGACATATATATGATTACCATATGACCCCTCGGTCTCATTTCTGGGTATATACCTGAGAGAATTAAAAAGCAACCTTGGAGAAATCTCTGCTTGCTCATATTCAGCATCGTTTCGGCATCACTCACAGTAGCCAGGAGGCAGAAGCAATTCGAATGCCCACTGACAGATGAGCGGATGGCACATACAGAAACCAGAGTCTTATTTAGCTTTAAAAAGGAAATACTTTCATGTGTTACAGCGTGGATGCAGCTCGAGAGCATTATGCTGAGAGAATAGGCCAGTCACAGAGAAACGAACACTGTGTGAATCCACTTCCCCAAGGCTGCTAAGGAGCCAGTCTTAGAAAACGGAAGAGCGGTTGCCAGGGTGCAGGGGACGGAGACACAGGGGAGTTACTGGTGAATGGATGTGCGCTTTCAGTTTTGCACGATGAAAAATTTCTAGAGACCTGTTACACGACAACTTGCACATACTTATCACTACTATACACTTCAAAATAGTTAAGGTACCCAATTTTATGTTTGTGTTTTTCACATAATGAAAACAGCACATGGCAGGGCCTTGGATTTAAATGCACAATGGTGCCACTGCCTGCCTCGCAAGCGCAATGTCTTGAGTTCGAGCCCCGGTACCAATAAAATAGATAAATAAAAATAAGAAGTCATTGAAAACAGCACCGGGCACACTCCCAGGCTTCAGAAGAAAGTAAGCCGGATGCCACAGTAAATGAGTCTATCCAGATCTGTCCATAGGAAGTTAGTATCGCCACACCTATACTGTAACAGTGCTTACGCCCAGCATCCATCCTTTACGTAGTAAAAAGTGTTACTTACAATTGGGGTCAGTGTAAGCTGGCGGTAAGAGCTGGTCCAGATCCTCATGGTATCCACTGTACAGTGAGTTCTCCCTTTTCTCACAGCCACAGCTTTGTGTGTATGCTGGGGGAGGCGAGTTCCCTCTGCCTGACTGGAAAAAGAGAAATATGGATCTGTTTCATGAACAAGTCAGTTCAATATATTAGCATAAGATGAAAATCTACTATTTCTACACTATAACCTAATTCATATTTGGCAGAAAGACAATGGAAAAGTGAAATCTTCCAGACATCTAAAACATGGATATATTTTCATGATATATAGTACCATGCCTTTAATTCTGTGTGGAGAGAAAAGTGTCTGAGATGCGGATATACATGGACTCTTGGATGGTGGAAAAAGACTTGAATTAGTTAAGTGTGTGGAAGACCAGGGGTAAGATGTACCACGAGTGCTAAAAAAAGTGGAGTCCAAATACATGGAATTTTGTATCCTATACCCACAGTCATCATAGGTAACCTGTCCCAGAGGTATGACACCAAGCCGCTACCCACGGCCAAGCCATTGGTACAAACGGTGGTGCAGGGTTCCCTGATAGCATACATTCAGAAGAACGGACTCCCTTTTTCCAAGGATGCAACTGCTGCTAATGAAAACAACAGAGACTAATTCTGACTCTCAACACCACACCTGGAAGATGACGGACCACCCATGTGGTATAAAGCTGATTTTGTGTCTTGTTCACACCAGCAATGCCTCAGACTCAAAGGATCCGCACTGGGATGTATAAAGTATGAATTGTGAGACCCACTGATCCACCATGAACAGGAACACTCTGAAGTGGCCAGCTTGACAGGCACCGAAATGGCTTTTTATAGGTAGAGCCAAGACTCCACATAAGTGGGATGCCATTCATTGGTGCTGTCCTTCAAAATACGGGATATACCTTCAATTAAAAGCCGCTAAAAGGTTTGTGTCACTCACATACACTGCGATCAAGATGCAAAGAATTACAGTAGGAGTGGATATTCTTGCCATCAGTTAGTCTCTGATAGTAACTTGTGATTTCTATCTCTGCATCATGCAGATGTAGAGATATCAGGCTTTGTTAAATGATAGGTTCTCTTTTTTTTAAAAAAAAAGAAGGCTTAAAAAAGGACAGGATGTGAGTTGCATGAAATCCAAAGCGATTGGAACCATCTAGTGATTTGGGCATTCCCATGCCATTACAACAAGAGAAAAGGCGTGAATTCACATAGGAATGTAGTATGCAACTGTCAAGATGAGGTATTTGGATGGCAAGGAAAAGAACATTACATACTGAAGGGAAAACCGGAACTCACTGGAATTATTAGCTGTACATCTTCATGCTCACTGTTCAGTATGTTCTCATTGAGTTCATTGGTACCTTTCAGGGATACAGTACAGTTACAGTCATCATTGGGATCTTGTACCTTTACATGATGTGTCTCGGTTCGTATTTCTTTCCCCATTCCCTTACCCTCCCCTCACCTGCTCCACCCTTCCACAGTTACAGAGTTTTTATCTCCAATTTTTTCCTTTTCTCAGTTTTTTCACTTCTTTTCACCTACCTTTCCCATTTCCCCTAATCCTTTAGAACTTTTCTTCCTATTTCACATTATCCATTATACAATTTGAACCTTACACATTTTGTTTTTCACACCACAGAAACTGTTCATTATTTACACGTATGTCCTATTTATTTCACTAGAGACTATGGTCTCAATGTGCATCCATTTATCTAAAAATGTCCCCAGTTTCTCATTCTTTATGGCTGAGTAGTACTCCATTTTATAGAAAAACCACATCTTCTTTATGCAGTCACCACTTGATGGGCAATTGGGCTGTTTCCAAGTTTTAGCTATTACAAACTGTGCTACTATAAACATGGGTATGCATGTCACTGTGGTATGATGCTTTTTATTCTTTTTGGAAAGCTATCAGCAGGATATCCAGGTCAAATGGGACCTCTAATCTTAGTTCTTTGAGGTATCTCCATACTTATTTCCACAGTGCTTGCACCAGTCTGCACTCCCACCAACAATGGAGAAGGGTTCCTTTCTCCCCACAACCCCACCAGCATTTGTTATTGATTGCTTTCTTGATAGCAGCCATTCTTCTGGAGTGAACAAAGAATTTAACCCGAGTAAGTCATTCCAATAAGCAAGCTTGACTAAGGCCCAAATGCAGAGATTATATATCTCAGATGAGGACCTAGCTTCATTTTCTGGAAAATAACCTAAAGCACTGAACGGTGGGAAGAATCTAAACAACATGGTAGAGGAAAATTATACAAACAATGATCTTAGGACCAGCTGCAGGAGACACACTAAACCTTCTGCTGTGGTTTTTCCCTTTTTCCTTTTGTCTGTCCATATCTTTGAAAAATTCCTAACAAGGAGGATCTGAGTAAATCTGAGTGATAAAGGAATGAATTGTAGCTGATGCCTTTAATAGTCACTTATACCTCTTGACATTCACTGTACCCCAAAATGCTTACAAGTCCATACATTTTAAAAAATAGCTTCAGGCCTCGAAATCACTCTGATCGAGGGCTACTACTTTCCATCAAATCATGCTATGCTCACATAGGACAGGCTAGAAAGGCAAGCTGTAGAGTTCTTTGACAGAGGACAAAGAGGAACTAGATACGTACCCTAGCTTTCACACCATGGAGTAAGGTCGTTCTGGGGCATGACTGTCACTCTGAGGACCTCAGTGGGTAAGAGCTAACTGCTTTTGGTAGCTGGCTGATTATTAACCCTTTCTATTAGCTCCATTCCCTTGCCCCTGAAATCAGTCCAACTCATGGTCTGCTTCCAACTGAATCTAACTGAAGATCAGACACAGCACTATTACCCAGATCAGCTTGATACAAATTCATGAACTCAACCACTATGCTACCTTGAAATATAGTCAAAATATAGTCTGTAGAATAATTATGAACATTTGGTAAACACTGCTTAAAAGGATTATTATCAGAAAGATGGGTCTTAAACCTACTGGAGCATGACAATCATTTCAGTATTTTGGACCTTGGTTAAGATTTCCAAGAATAAGAAAGATTCTCATTCCAAACGTAGTAATAGCATAAACTCAAGTCACTTAGACTGGCTTTAATGATTTTCTACATTCTTTCTTTTGTATGTATGTCTGCATATTGCTTTGGCTATAAATACATTTCAATATTTCATAGTACAGCAAGAGTATGTCAGCCAAAATATAAAAATTAAAATAATTCTAATAGAAACATAAAATTCAAGTAGAAAATGGCTTGATTCTAAGAATTTTTGACTCTTAACCTCTATCTACAAGGTCCCTATTAACCTCGTAGTGTCTATGCTTTCTTATGTGCTAAGTGGGATTCGTAATCCTTATGATAAAAGAGCAGTCAGTAGATGAATATTAGCTTGGCTATAATCTTATACACAGCATTATTTTGATGATGCTCATACATTATTCATTGCTGAATGCACTTACCTTGCATTAGTACAATATGCAATTTCACAAATTTCAGATATTACACCCATTTTTAAATATGTCAGTTAGATACATGCTATGGAATATTTTTAACTAAAATGATTTAATCCTAGGTGACCTGGAGTGACATGTCCACAAAGCTAAAGATGACAAATAGCTCTCTATTCATAAGAAGTTCAGTATAATCTTGGAATTTGGGGATTCTGTGTCATAACCTAGTACTAGCTCTCAGTATCTTTCAGATACAACCGCAAAGGTTGATGCCACAGAGCACTCAGTCGCCTGCGGTGGCCTGGATTTGAGGAACAGTGGGTGGTCGGGTACTCACCACACCACTGCAGGCATCAAGGTGGCTTCTCCCTACGCATGTCCTACCTTAACCTCCTTCTCCCCTCCACTCTCATACACAGTAGCTGTTCTTACACGATAGAAACTATATATTAGTGAGAAATAGACCTTGTGGGAGAAATAGAGCACTGCTAGTTATGGTGATGAAACTGAAACAGTTGAAGAAGAGTTTAATCTTTGCCAGAAAAGAGAAATTAAAAAGAAATTAAAGAGTGGAATGTTGAACTTGGCAGACTTAAATTCATGATACAATGGCATCAAAGACACGTAAGGAAACCAGAAAAATCACTTCATGAAATTATGTTAACAAGACTACTCACCAAGTCAAAATTTAATTCTCATAATTTTACATAATGACCAATTTCATGGTTAGAAAAGAATTTTCAGTTTTTAATGTTCCCTCATTGGCTCTTACATATTTATCAAAACATTATTTTAATATTCTTTTGTAGTCATTAATTTTAATGCCATTTTATTTAATCCTTTTGCAATTGGTAAAAGGAAATCAGTCTCTAAATGAAAATATTTCCTCTACTTTTTTTCCTCTATTAAACTCATTTTGTTGTAGCACATCAGCACTTCAGAAATAATGTTTAAGAAGAAGAAATGAGCTTGCTTCTTTTGTTCTTAACTTTAATTGGAATGATTTCTAAGGTTTCCCAAAGCACATGTGAATGAGAAGTAATATCTCTTGAAGAATTTCATGGCAAATAAGGGTTTAGTAATCTTCTACACTCTGTTCCCCCAGAGAATCTTAGAGGATAATTTTTTTTTTTTTGTACTGGGGATCAAACTCAGGTCCTTGAGCTTGCAAGGCTGTTTGCAGCACCAAGGAGCGAGATCTCTCGCCCGAGGATAATGTTTTATTAACAGTACTGAGCAGTCCTGTAACTTAGCCCCTGATGTTTTTTGTTTGTTTGTTTGTTTTTTGTTTGTTTGTTTTTTTAGTACTGAATTCAACGAAAACCCCAAGAAATTAGGAAAAAAAACAAAAAATCAGTTCCCTACAGTCTAAGGAAACCCAATAACTTTGGTACCACATTAAAGGAGGAATAATGGTGTTCACATTAGTTTTGTTTTGTTTTGTATGAGACAGGGTCTCTCTCTGTAGTTGAGACTGACCTGGAACTCACTATGTAGCCCAGGCTGGTCTCGAACTCAAAGCGATCCTCCTGCCTCAGCCTTCCGAGTGCTGGGATTATAGGCGTGCGCCACCACGCCTGGCCATTTTTTAACCTCATCCTCAAGCCATCTTGCAGAGAGGTCTTCATTTATTGTGAGAGCAGCAGCAGTGCAGAAAGC